AACGTTGAAGGATACCCAACGTTTATAAACGTTTTTTTTTTCAAATACGAAAACAATAAAGGAAATTCTTCAACAGCGAATTAGGAAACAATTTAAAAAATTCGTACATGTTTTTAAAGAATGTTTTTAAAGAAGAATTTGACAAAATACCTATATATCGAATTATAGTTTTATTGACCGAAAAGATAATCTGCAACAGACATTTATAAAGAAAAAAAAAATACTTTCGTTTACCGATAATTAAATTTGACTCTTTAAACAATGAATATTTGTCGAAACTAAATGCTGCCCTCTGGCATCGATATCAACGAATTAACTACAACGATTCCTGCAAATTTATCATCGAACGTGCGGTAAACGAAAGCTTATCGCAAAATTAAAAAAAAATTAAAAAAATATATTTCGACTGTATAACGAGACGAAGCTTTAACTTCTTTTAAAGAGTCACGTAACTATCGAAACGAATTTAAACTGAAACTTGTCTCGAATGTCTTACTGAGCGGAACTAGAACAGAAAAAAAAGAAAAATTCATGAAACGTCGAACGAAATAAGAAGATCGAAGAGGATCACATTGAGAAGGATTTGCACAGAATTGCTGTTCGCCCGTTTGACTCGAGTATCGAACTTCGTAACCAGGGGGTTCACGATGCGCACATGAACTCGTTTAAAAAAAGACCAGCATCGTCGACGGTGCAACGAACTTCCAAAATTAGCACGACGTTCATTATACGCGAAAAGAGAGGTCGAATAAATAAGATCCGCTTCGTTAATGAAACTTTTCGTGAATAAGAAACGCGGGGAGGGGGGGGCGAAAGAAAAGAAATGAAAACCAGCTTGCGGTGCAGCACGCTGCAGCTTCCCTCTTCGAATTAATTTCACCGGGAGATTCTTAATCAAAAGCAAAAAATGGATAACCGTAGGAGAACGTTGTATATTTCTAGAATTAGACCGAAAACTTTGAGAAAAAGAAAAAAAAACGAGTCAAATTTCGTACGAGTTCGGTTACGTGCGACGAACCGAAGTAGATTTTGTTTCTCAACAAAATATAACCTCAAAGTATCGCGTAGAATCGTTTACGTTACGATACACGAAAATTCACGCCTCGGTGCTTAATTTGATTCGTCAGAGAACAGGAGCGAAGAGTTTAAAAAACGTTCGAAATCCTCTCGAAAATCGACGCGACACACAGTTATTAGCAGCAAATAATGTTAACGCGATTTTTAGGAAGATATTACGTGCGACGGAGTATAGACACCACTTACTAACCGATGCAACAGACTATCTCTCCACTCTCGCGTGTCGAATCAATTTCAGTTTCCGTCACAGCACGGTACGGCTCGTTTGCACGGAAAAAACGAGTTTTCAGGGAGGAGAACGAAGGTTCACGAAGATGACTTGCACGCGTGTAACGCGTCTCTTCGAGCTTTCACGCGTGATCCTACGTGTCACAATGCCGAAAAAACGATCAAGGCTCGTTACGTACGCCGCGTTCACGTTCTCTGCACGTTCATTCAAGTTACATGTGCTCTCCTCTCTTCACACTCCGACCAACCTTTCGACGAGAAACTGCGCGAACTGGCATAGAAAACGTGAAACGTGTGAAATAAAGCACAAGAGATAGAAACGGGGTGAGGAGAGGGGAGAAGAGGGGAGGGGAAGAAAAGAACAGAAGCAAGACAGACAAGGCGCGAGAAAAGGATGAAACGTACTGGTTTCTCAGGCTCGTTACCACTTGTTAGGTAGGAGTCGAACGCGTCACGCATCAATCACGTTTGACCGTGGCTTTCCAGCTCGGCTCAGCGTCTTGCACACGCGTACACACATGTTCGTCGAGGCATCGACGACGAGTCAACAAACACAACACGGCCAGAGCACGGTTTCGCGCGGCGTCGGCGACGACGACCACCACGGCGACGGCGAGGACGAGGACGAGGAAAACGACGACACGGCAGGACGATGATCATGACTCGTCTCTACCGTCCATGCCTCGTCTTGCCTCGGGGGACGTCCGCGATATTCTCGACGACGACGTTGCCACCTCGATGATGGCTGTTCATCGGACTCGGGGCAATCGACGATGACAACGACGACGACCACGAGCACCGTTACTCTCGACGAGACGAATGTTGCTGCTGCTGCTGCTGCTGCTACTGCTACTGCTACCACTAGTAACGTTACTCTCGAAGCGTGCGTCGGGCATGAAGCACTGTTTACATGCGAGCAGGGGCGCCATGGTCACTGCCGCCTCTATGCTCCTCGTCTATCCACGATCAGCACCGCGATCTCACGTCCGTTGTCCTTCGCCTCGACCGCGCCGATGCGTACCGTGTACACCACTCGGCAAACTTCCTCATCGTCGCGGCATCAACTCCATTTCCATCCTCGTTCATTCATCTTCACGACATCGTTTTTCTCTCTTCGTCGTCGTCGTCGAAGCGATCCGCTCCTCTCCGCTACACGCATGCACCCATCTCACCGCTTCCTAACCAACTCACTCTCTCTCACTCTCTCTCTCTCTTTCTCTCTTTCTCTCTCACCGTCCTATCGTCGTTTTCTCCCTCTATCCCCCGGTGGTCTTCTCGTCGTTCCTCTCTCACTCGCACTCACCCTGATCGTGTCTCTCTCTCTCTCTTTCTCTCTGTCTCTCTATCTCCCTCTCTCTCACTCACTCACCTCTCGCACTATACCGCCCTCTCTGTCGCTCTCTCGCTCTCACGCGGCAAGCTCTCAAGCGACGCGAGTGCTGCTCCCGAGTTGTGCAACGCGTGCCAGAGCTCTCGTTGGACTAAACTCCGATAGAACTAGCGCCACGCCCTCCGCGCAGGTGGCAGCACCCGTCGCCATCGTCTCGCCAACGTTATCCCCTTCTCACGTATCCCCGTATTCTCTGTATTCTCCTTTACCACCCTTTAGTCGTCCCCCGATCCAACGGCGGCTCATCCCTTCAGCGTAGTTTACCCTCGCCTTCTTCCCTGCTACACACTCTTTGTCCTCATTTTTTCTTCTTTTTCTCACTTCTCGCGTATTTACTTACGTGCCTTGCACCCCGTTTCGCCCCCCCGGACCTTACGCTTCCCTACGTTCGCTCTTTCTACTTGCCATCGTCCTTCTTTTTTTAGATTCCTCCGTCTTCTTCGTACGTTGCGACGCACGTCGCTTTCCCATGAGTTACCTTAGGAGGTCATTGCTCCTTTCACTTGGCTTGTTATCTCCTGTTCCGATCGAAATTTCGGAGATGAAATAATTCGCGCTCCTATGGAAAATCGATGTATTCTGTATGAAAATGAAAGAGAAAGAGAATAAAAATATTCCGCTGCTTCTTCAACGCGTCTCTTATTAACCACCCTCGTTTTTCAAAGGAAAAAAAAAAAAAAAAAAACAAAGAACTTCAGCGTACCCTCGGAGATGTGTTTCTTCTTTCTCATCATAATGCACGTTTTCTCTCGAGTTCCTCGATGCATACCCGCTTCGTACCACTTCGTTACCGTTTACTATACCTTCACCCTACTTTCGTCCCTCGTGCCAACCCCCCTATTTCGATCTACTTCCCTTTCTACCATCCTCCTGTCTACACCATTCCTCGCTCTGCTCCACTTTTCCCTTGACATTCACATTGTCGTTACTCCTGCGAAAAAAAAACTCCTTGCGACGATTTCTAACGAAATACACACGAAGTGGCGATTTATCGCTGAAGGAGAAGCGAAACTTTTAACAAAGAGAGGTCGGCAGAAATGGATCGTGCACTGACACGGTTACTCTCTCCTCGTCCTTTGTAACCTGATTGCATAAGCAAATCGGCGATTTCGTTCACCACGAACGATCAAGTTTCGATTGCCCGACATTACGGTCGAGAACACGTTTGTAGAAGCGGTTTCCGTGATCGTTACCTTAGTTTGCAGTGAATCGGAAACGAGGCGAGTCGGGAAATAGATTCGCAATTTAAGGAACACGCGTCTTTTCCGAACTTGCCGTATTAAAATTTAAGCGATTCGTGTATGTTTTTAATTTCGAAATGCAAACAGATGAGATGTTGCAACGCCTCCTTTCTTTATATTTGAATAACATGGGAGATATGATAGCTGAGAAGTTCATTGAACATTGTCACGCGAAAGTTTTTGACCGCGAGACAGTCCCTGAAAGAAATAGGCCGCGATCTTTGTCAATCTTATCGTCTCGTTCCGCGAAGTCGGCTCATGCCCTGAAAATTCGCGACCATATTCAACGAGCGCTTTGTTGACAAGATCTCGTTAACATATGACAGATTCGTCACACATTTAACATCAGAATGGTGCTTCGGCACGTCGACTTTAATTTCATACAATTAAAACGAACAATGAATTTTGTTGGAACGAGTTCGATTCTGGATTTTATCGTGGTTTATTTGTCGAAAAACCGATAAAATAATTTCAAAAAAAAGAAAGAAGGAGAATTGCGTGTTGGGGAAATCGCGTCTCGTGAACGGACGAATGATAAAACACACAACGAATCGCGAATTTTTCACTGGCTTTCGTGAATCGAAGATGCTGTAATTGGGCTATTTCAGTGAATCCGAGGCTGGTTACACTTATGGATGGCTCAACCGCCGTATTTCGCCATCAGATCAATCTTCTTCCGCTGGAGGCCCGTTTCGACTACCCGTGCTATTTCCAGCCACTCGAAATTAGATTAGATAATGGCCCTTCGGACAAGATAGACCGAAAAGATAATAAAGCAAATGTTAATTGCCAGCCTATATTCGTTTTTGTTAATCTATCTGATCGCCTGAGGGTATACGATGAATAACGTCTTGAATACGTAACGTTTCATAGCCTCGATTCGGCGTCGTCTATTCGATCGTTCGAAGAGTTTATCTTTGAACGATTTTGAACATTCCGAGGCAAATGTCGAAGACGGTTTTTCTTCTTTTTTTTTTTTTTTTTGGATAAATAAAATTTACAATCGAAAGGAGAATAATGACGGTTAACGATCGTTAAATGAACCGTACAAATTTTCGTGCAAATTTTCGTTCTCGTTCATTGTATTCATCGACAACAAGAAAACAGTAATTAAAATCTGTATAAAACACGTATTTAAATACTACAAACTAACCCCTCCCCCCATCGATCGTTCGATCGATCTTCCATAATGCCATCGGTGTGACTACAGTGCAAAGTTAACAACGTATATGTTACATACACCAGACTCTGCTCCTCTTAATCGTTAAATCTAACGTACATACAAATTACGAACACGCAGCCGACCGTTGCAAGACAGAATCAATGCTTTCGATAAAAAAAAAAAAAAAAAAAAAAAGAGATCCAACAATTCCCCAATTCCATAAAAAGATTCTCGCATCTGAAACACGGAGGAATTGCGCGAGGAATTCAACAAAGATCTTTAACAAAAATACATTCTTCGTTCCGTGGTATAACAAAATACAAAAAGTAATAACTTTCCTATATACGCTTATAGAGTAGCTTCGGAAATATAGCATTTAACAAACAGATAGGGTACGTGTATTCTATATAAATTTGTGCATTATAAAACACTTTGAAGCCCTTTGTGCACGGATTTTCCCTCCGTATATGTATATGCATGTATAATCGCGAGTGTGTATCGTTTTCAATTGCAACAGTTTCTTTCTCGTCAACAAGTTGTATGTGCGTGTGCAATACGTACAATTTACACATTAAAACCGCCAATAAAATCCTAAAACCGCTATACATGGATTTCACGAACAGAGATCTCGACGGTATTTCCTATAAAAAGAAAAATGTCCACCGTATACAACATCTACTGTGTGTATAATGTTCTACAGACAGAAAGGAACGTTCGTCGATAGAGTGATCTAGAAAAGCTCCTAAGGTAGAAAATCTTGCTTATAAAATAATTCGTGCATCTTATCTAAGGAACAGTTTAGAGATCCATCTTTACTGCGCGCATTAATTAGACGATAATAATCGTGTTGATTACCTTGTTACGTTACGCTTCAATGCAACATTTTTCTGCCGCTTGCGTTAACGATCTCTAAGTTATATGCACCTGACGGGGCTGTTAATTAGCGATGTCGATCGTTACGCTCATTTCCGTAGTGACTTTAATCAATTAATTCTCGAAATCGCGTGTTTTGGAATCGCTCGTTGAAAATTCGCTCTTAAAAATAAATCGGAGCTCGCTTCGCATGCGCGTCAAACTCTAAATTCGCGTAAAAATGTCCTTCGAGTTACGTCTTTGAACACTACACCTGAGGTTTCGATTTATTCTCCGATTAAACGCTAGTGTTGTTTCCTCGGAGACAATGTTACAGCGTCTGTAACTGTGGCTGTCCGATGTTTTTTCACTTGGTGTTCACTCGCTTAGGCTATCGGAAGTTTCATCCTTCCCTCCATGATGCTACAGTATCTTCAATGTAAGACGATTCTATCTGCTTTGAACGTGCGCCTTTCTCAACAAATGAATATTCTCTAATTCAAAGAATGAAATACTGCACTCTTTCTTACATCATCCTCGTCCGAACAAACGAATTTTCTCGCTCGAAGGTTGTCCGTTTAGTCAAGCCTCCGTCGATCGCAATTATTAATTTTCATTTCACCGTAACTTTCTCACTCATTCGATCCAACTATTTATTAATTGACACGTTAACTTTAACCAGCCTCATAATAAAAACTTGCTTCATCTATTTATCTTACCTCTGTAGCTTTAATTTGATCAAAAGAGGGGAAAGAATTCGAATATTCTAAACAACGTACGACTGAGAAATAATCGACGGAGGATTAACATACTATCTGCGTTCTGTCGTCGGTTTATCAAAATGATTTTCACATGTAAAATCGCGGCGTTTCTTTCAAAACACTTTTACAATGGGAAAACATCCGGTCCACTGAACGAAAACACCGATCTTATCGTGCACGAACGCAACGAAGTGCATAATGATCTCGCGTTTTTTAGACAACTTCTCGATCATTTATGCAGATCGAACTGTCATTTTAATTGTTCAGTTAGAAAAAAAAGTAAAGGAAAAGAACTGCAGTCTTCGTCTCACTGTGATGCGGCTCCTTAACGTGGACACTAATCGCTCTCCCCTTCGTAGAACGTGTCCGGCGTTAAGGAGGCCTCCTGCTAGTCTTCGTCCACGATCTCGCAGCTGTGATACTTGCTCGACGAGTCTAACCAACTTTCCACGCCGCTAGACGCCAGGTCGTCGTAAGACGGCATCTCCGGGAGTGGTTCCATGTTTGGTGCTCCTTTCTTCGACAAGTTGTTCGCCTGACGATCTTTCGGAACACCTGGAAGAATTTTTGGATCGTACAGAGGAAAGGAAAAAGACGAATGAAACGAAAAAGCTCGAGAGATTTTACCATTATCGGAAGACATCGACGTCTCTTTCCTGCGAATCAGCGCTTGCCTGGATGCTCTCGGACTTCTGTATTCACCGCTTATCGTTAGCCCAGCGCTGATCGTTGGCAGCCTTATGTCCAGGTGCGATCCTTTGTCTGTAACAATCTAACCAGATGTTAGGCTGAGAACGAGATGTTAACTTCAAGTCGAGTAGAACTCGAAAATATTTCGATGAATCGTGATCATAAAATATTCTATCTTTCGCCTGTAGCGGGCCTGCCGAACTGGCTCGCGAGCCAAATGTGAATTCACGAGCCGTGGAGAGAAAACTCTATTCTCTTTGTTGTTTTTCGCAACAAAAACTAAAGAATCTTTCAAATGAATATCAAATAAGATACGATAAGGTGAATTAATAATTGTTGAAATTCCAAGCCAGTCGTAAATTACGGAAAACTGAATTGTGCGTTGTGAAAATGCATTGTCGTAAAGTATTTTTCCATAAACTGAAAAAGTTAATTAAATCAAACATGTGGTGGGAGAAATCGATTAGAAAAATCTCGTCGAGTACCAACCTCGATCTGCCAAAATTCGACAGGCCTAACTTACAGGTTTGTACTAATTAGAGAAATATTTAAATTTCCACACCCTTCGGATGCAATGAACGCTCTATTATGAACGACTTTATTATTAATATTATAATTGTTATTACCTTGTTATTCATAGCGTACAGCTTTGTGGCGATGTCTCTAGCAACCAACGTCGTTAAAACTGTCGCGAGGTACGCCTCTTTCACGAGCAGATACTCCAGCGCCGATCTTTGCCAATATAAGTATCTGCAGGAACTTGCGGCAACGATCGATACCTGAGAAAGGGACGTAAATTTTCAGAACGACCGTATTTCAATCGAACGTAATCGACAAGAAACGACGAAGCTTTCACCTTGAATTTGTCGTCTACGGAGGCTCGAGAACTCTCGAACTCTGGCGAGTCGAGAAACTCGCAAGGTAGAATAGGATGCAGGAAATTCGAGTCGCTGAGAACGTTCACTTTACCGCTAAGCAGCAGTGCCAATCTGTCGGTTCGCGTTAGATTTTGCATTGCGTACGCTTCGCCCGCGTGCAACGACATTATTGACGCGAATTCTGGGGACACCAGCCTCTTAAACTGCAATCGTGACACCTGTTTTGTTGAAAGAGGAAACATATTTCTTTGTATCCAAGGTCAGACAATCCGATGTTTTATACGGCGAAGACAAAAGAATTTAAGAAAAAAAAAAGAAAAGATTCACGAACGTAACAGTCCTGATAATCTAGATTGCTGTTTCGTTACGTGAATAATTTTCGAAACGTCTCCGTGACGTTTAAATTAACACCAAGGCAAACGAGATTCCACGTTAAGATTGCCCGATACCTGCAGACACGCGAATGATTAAACACTTCAATCGCGTGAGCAGCCATTGTGTGGCAGTGTAACGCTAAACTGTACACAAAATCGTTGTTACCGAATTGTTCGAAGTGCTCACCTTGAACGGATAGAAAAGAGTGTGATACGCTTCCTCCAATTCAGGGTCGAAACGAACGGGTCTCATTTGATAAACGATGTAAACCAGTTGACCGATGTTCAACACCAGGAAACTGAAGTTCCAGGAAAATATATCGGGTGCGCAAATCACGTGCCATGCCCAGCCTGACAGCAACATGAAGCCTGAAATGAAAACGAAAAACTTGTGAAATTTAATAAAAAAAAAAAAAAAAAAAAGCCAAAAAAATCTGAAAAAAAAAAAAGAAAATTTTTGAAATTTAAAAAAAAAAAAAAAAAAAAAAAAAAAAAGAATTCGTCCGATTACTCGTAAATTCCCTTCCCGTATTTCTCAACAGACTAGGAAGAAATAAATCTATCAGTTCTTTCGAATAAACGTTTTCTTCTTCAAATCAAATTAAAATGAGCATTTACTTACCTATTATTAAGACAGAGTGCATAAATAAAATCCCTTTCCTCGACGAGGGTGCCGAATACGACAACGCGAAGCAGAAATTGGCCAGTTGAAACAGTATATGCTGCGGTTGCTGCCACAGGCACAACGCCGTGTTACCTGTAACGTGATCGAGAAACAACGACGTTTGATCAAATTCGTGCGATCTACCACCGAATTGAATTGTTACGTGGGAGAGGTAAACGTGCAAGGACGAGAATACGAATAATGCATGCTTGATTTTACCTAACGCGGTGATATTGTACGAAGGAAGAGGATCGTGTCCGAGTCCAGGACTCATGTTGGCTAAATCACTATCGATGAATGATGTAAAAAGGGAAAGAAGAAGAACGATGGATCTCTAACAGCTACGTATTCTTAGTGTCCATGCTCACTGGTTTGTTTTGGTGGAATTTGTCAATCTTCTCGCCTCGAAGCAGGGGCGCCAACCCCCTCGGCGCTTGCGCCAACCCCTAACATCGATTCGTTTCCACGCTGATGATGTAGACGATTTTATTCGGATTTTATACCTGTTACGGGTAACAGAGGAACACGTTGATAAAGTTGATCGTACAGCAGGTCTTACCGCGAGAGATATTACGTTGGTTTTTAGTGGACAAGTTTAAGGATGAAACGCGATGGCGCATTGTAGAAGACGAAATATTCTCAAATGCGTCGAGAAGAAACATTGTCGATAATTTATAGTGATATAATTTCATGAAAAAGACTCACTTGGTCTTATTTCAAAGCGAGAAGTCTATACTTTACAACATGAAAGAATACGTTCTTTTTAACGAAAATGATCAAAATTTGTTTTCATTATTATATTCGATAGGGTCTGGAAGAGTGGAATTTTCTCATTATAACGAGCGCTAAAAACTTGCTGTACGATTTATTTTTCATCGTACTATTGAACTTTGAATGTCAATGATTTCATTTATACTGTGCAAAGGGTTTCTTTTATCTCACGAAATTGGAATATCTCATAAGATGTCGATTGTCCAAAATGCACTTCGAGTCTATGAAATATAAATATTTTGTATCTCATAATATATTTATTTAATGTAAGATTTATTTAAAATAAATATTTCATATTATATATACATGAATTATTATAATATTAAATGAAATATTTAAAATACTTTAATTCCAAATATTACATTATACATAAACAATACGATATTCCACTAGAAATCTCGTGGCCGAGAAAGTCAAAATTTTATTTCAAATCAATTCTTACCACTAACATAAATTATCATTTACATTTATTATTAATAAAAGTACTTACACTGCAAATACTGATCACTTATATTTATTACAAATAAATATATTTGCACTGCAAATATATTTATTACAAATAAATATATTTGCACTGCAAATACTTATCATTTATATTTATTACTAATAAATGTATTTGCCCTGCAAATGTGTCAAAAAATAGTCTTTATTAACCTAAAATCTCATACATTTAATTGGTTTCGCGTTTGAGGAGCGATTTACCTTGGAGTGTTTGGGAAGACCACGAGGTCCTCGCGTCTTGGCAAACACCACCGTTTTCTGTACTTTCGGAGGCAATGTATTTCTTTGTACATGCCTCCTTCGTACCATTTCCATCTCCTCTTCCGCAACCAGGTCCAGCCCGAAAACCTTACCCATCATTTTCCTCCTGATACTCCGCTTGTAATTCTTCGCGGTATCTTGGAGAATCTTGTCCGACCTGCAAATTGTCATCCATTTTTGTGAGACTTGCGCTGCGCACAACAGAGACTCAGGGTCCAACTTGCGCAGTATCAGCTGAGAAACCTCCAGAGGTAGCTCGACAATAAAATCTACCTTGGACGGCTCCAGCAGTCCGACGGCACGAAGAAGCGATCTGAAGAACTCCATGTTGCTTGGACGAGAGCAAGATTGAAACTGAGGATGGGATGGAATAACTGGGTATTATATATCATAGGATGAGTCATGAGTGACTGATGTCCATCGTAATCCCAAGTCCAGTTCCGGTTCCGGTTCCGGATCCGGTTCCAGTTTTGGATCCGATTTTGGTTGTTTGACAATTGCAAAATCTATTTCGAGAGTTCGAGATGCAGGTATTTAATATTTATAAACAAATTATTAAAAATATATTTCTATAGAATTATCTTATAAAATATTTATTCCATATAAATTTTGTATTTTATATTATATATACAGAGTGTTTCGTAACTTGTGGGACCCACTTCGGCAGCTGATTGTACGCCTAAAAATAATGGAAGAAAGTCATATAAATGTATGTCCTATCTGTCTTCGTTTATGAGATATAATGAATTTTATAAGCAGGGCAAACTCTAGTAAGCTAGTTTTACCAGGGATGCTATATTCAATTTTCATAATAATCATAATTGGGATGAAAAAAACCCACATGTAATTGTGCATTCAAGACATCAACACCAGTTTCGTTTGAACGTATGGGCAGGAATAATTGATAAATTTTTAATTGGACTTTTTTTTCTTGATGGGAAACAGGCATAAAGTACGTTGATTTTTTGAGCACATGAAATATTAGAGGAAGTTCCAGTCGATATTAGACTTGGTATGAAGTTTATGCATGATGGAGCTCCGTCGCATTTTAGCCGAGTGGCTAAACAATTTTTAAATCAACACTGCAAATAAATGGATTGGTCGTGGAGGTCCTGTTGCATGGCCTGCTCGTTCTCTAGATTTGAATCCATTAGATTTTCACTTGTAGGGACATTTAAAATCTATTGTATACGCAACATCGATTGAAAATGCTGAAATACTACGAAATAGAATAGAGCAAGGTTTCCGACAAATGAAACACCAGGAATGATAGAGAGAGTAACCAGATGAATGACAAGACGCGCGCAGGCTTGTCTTCAAAGGCAAGGTGGTCATTTCGAGCATCTTTTGTAAAAGTAATTAAAACAGAACATTCATATATCTCATAAACGAAGACAGATAGGACATATAATTATATGACTTTTCTATATTATTTTTAGGCATACTATCAGTTTCCGAAGTGAGTCCCACAAGTTACGAACACTCTGTACATAAATACATATTATTATAATATTAAATACAATATTTAGAATTCTTTAATTCGTATTACATTATACATAACAGCACGATATTTAACTAGAAATATCGCGGCCGAGCAAGTCAAACAAAAATAGTTTATTTCAAATCAACCCTTACACTAACGCAATTTATCATTTATATTTATTATTAAAAAAAAAGTATTTGTACTACAAATTTATATTTATCATTTACTTATCATTTATATTTATTATTAATAAATGTATTTGCATTGCAAGTACTTATCATTGATATTTATTATATTAGTAGAAGTATTTGCACTGCAAATGTGTCAAAAAATAGTCTTTATTAACCTAAAATCTCATACATTTAACTGGTTTCGCGTTTGAGGAGCGATTTACCTTGGAGTGTTTGGGAAGACCACGAGGTCCTCGTTTCTTGGCAAACACCACCGTTTTCTGTACTTTCGGAGGCAGTGTATTTCTTTGTACATGCCTCCTTCGTACTACTTCCATCTCCTCTTCCGCAACCAGGTCCAGCCCGAAAACCTTACCCATCATTTTCCTCCTGATACTCCGCTTGTAATTCTTCGCGGTATCTCGGAGAATCTTGTCCGACCTGCAAACTGTCATCCACTTTTGTGAAACTTGCGCGGCGCACAACAGAGACTCAGGGTCCAACTTGCGCAGTATCAGCTGAGAAACCTCCGGAGGTAGCTCGACAATAAAATCTACCTTGGACGGTTCCAGCAGTCCGACGGCACGAAGAAGCGATCTGAAGAACTCCATGTTGCTTGGACGAGAGCAAGATTGAAACTGAGGATGGGATGGAATAACTGGGTATTATATACCATAGGATGAGTCATGAGTAACTGATGTCCATCGTAATCCCCCGCCTAGTTCCGGTTCCGGTTCCGGTTTCGGTTCCAGTTTTAGATCCGGTTTTGGTCGTTCGACATGTCCAAAATCCATTTCGAGAGTTCGAGATGCTGGTATTTAATATTTATAAACAAATATATTTATATACAATTATCTTATAAAATATTTATTTAATATAAATATTGCATTTTATATTATATATACATGAACACATTATTATAATATTAAATACATAAATATGAACACATTATTATAATATTAAATACAATATTTAGAATTATTTAATTCATATTACATTATGTATTAACGTTATTTAATTAGAAATATCACGGCCTAGCAAGTCAAATAAAATATTTCACTTCAGATCAACCCTAACGTAAATTATTATTTATTATTAATAAAACTATTTGCACTGCATGCTACTTAACGTTTGCATTTATATCGTATAAAATATTCTATTTAGATCGTATGTATGGGTGGGTTTAGTTTTATATTTCAGGATTTGGTTTGATAAATGTAGATCTACTTTAGCTTGTATGTGTGACTGTGCCTGAAGTGTGGGAAAATCGTAAGATTATTACGCAGAAGTATGCCTTTGTCCACGAGCGAGGAAAGAAGTGTGTATACATGCGAGTCAGACTTAAGAGAGTTGAGAGTGTAATACCAACGCGTGAAAGTATGATTTCAAATGCGAGAGTTGTTATAAATATTGTCCTATTTTCTTATATATTATATATGTTAACTAAAAGTGTGTGTTTCACTTAATTATCCCACAATTGGTAGCAGTTCGTGGTTATTATAAAAAGTGAGAGAATCCCACAGTACGTATTATTATAACATCAAATACAGTATTTAAAATTCTTTAATTCATATTACATTATACATGATCAGCACGATATTCAACTAGAAATATCGAGCCCGAGCAAGTCAAACTAAAATACTTTATTTCAAATCAACCCTTACTATTAACGTAATTTATCATTTATATTTATTATTAATAATAGTATTTGCACTGCAAATACTTATCATTTATATTTATTATTAATAAAAGTATTTGCACTGCAAACACGTATCAGTTATATCTGTTATTAATAAAAATATTTGCACTGCAAATACTTATCATTTATATTTCAAATTAATAAAAGAATTTGCACTGCAAATATTTATTATTTATATTTATTACAAATAAATGTATTTGCATTGCAAATATTTATCATTTATATTTATTACTAATAAATGTATTTGCACTGCAAATATGTCAAAAAATAATCTTTATTAACCTAAAATCTCATACATTTAACTGGTTTCGCGTTTGAGGAGCGATTTACCTTGGAGTGTTTGGGAAGACGACGAGATTCTCGCGTCTTGGCAAACACCACCGTTTTCTGTACTTTCGGAGGCAGTGTATTTCTTTGTACATGCCTCCTTCGTACCATTTCCATCTCCTCTTCCGCAACCAGGTCCAGCCCGAAAACCTTACCCATCATTTTCCTCCTGATACTCCGCTTGTAATTCTTCGCGGTATCTAGGAGAATCTTGTCCGACCTGCAAACTGCCATCCACTTTCGTGAGACTTGCGCTGCGCACAACAGAGACTCAGGGTCCAACTTGCGCAGTATCAGCTGAGAAACCTCCAGAGGTAGCTCGACAATAAAATCTACCTTGGACGGTTCCAGCAGTCCAACGGCGCGAAGAAGCAATCTGAAGAACTCCATGTTGCTTGGACGAGAGCAAGATTGAAACTGAGGATGGGATGGAATAACTGGGTATTATATATCACAGGATGAGTCATGAGTGACTGATGTCCATCGTAATCCCCCGCCCAGTTCCGGTTCCGGTTCCAGTTTTGGATCCGGTTTTGGTTGTTTGACAATTTCAAAATCTATTTCGAGAGTTCGAGATGCAGGTAATTAATATTTATAAACAAATTATTAGAAATATATTTCTATATAATTATTTTATAAAGTGTTTATTTAATATAAATTTTATATTTTATATTATATATACAGTGTATTTCGTAACTTGAGGGACCCACTTCGGGAGCTGATTGTATGCCTAAAAATAATGAAAAGTATAAATATAAATATATGTCCTATCTGTCTTCGTTTATGAGATATAATGAATTTCATAGACAGAGCAAACTCTAGTAAACTAGTTTTACCAGAAATGGTATATTCAACTTTCATAATAATCATAATTGGGATGAAAAAAACCCACATGTAATTGTGCATTCAAGACATCAACACCAGTTTCGTTTGAACGTATGGGCAGGAATAATTGATAAATTTTTAATTGGACCTTTTTTCCTTGATGGGAAACTAACAGGCACAAAGCACGTTGATTTTTTGAGCAGGCGTTTACACGAAATATTAGAGGAAGTTCTAGTCGTTATCAGATTTAGTATGCGGTTTATGCATGATTGAGCTCCGTTGCAATTTAGCCGAGAGGCTATGCAATTTTTAGATCATCACTTTACAAATAAATGGATTGGTCGTGAAGATCCTGTTGCATGGCTTACTCGTTCTCCGGATTTGAATCCACTAGATTTTCATTTTTGGGACATTTAAAATCTATTGCATAAGTAACATCGATTGAATGTTGAACATGCTAAAGTACTACGAAATAGAATAGAGCAAGGTTTCCGACAAATTCGAGAATGATAGAGAGAGTAGCCAGATCAATGACAAGACGTGTGCATGCTTATCTTCAAATGCAAGGTGGTCATTTCGAGCTTCTTTTGTAAAAGTAATTAAAACAGAAAATTCATTATATCTCATAACCGAAGACAGAGAGGACATATAATTATATGACTTTTTTATATTATTTTTAGCCATACTGTCAGTTTCCGAAGTGAGTCCCACAAGTTACGAACACTCTGTACTTATTTACATATTATTATAATATTAATACAATATTTAGAATTCTTTAATTCATATGACATTATACATAACAGCACGATATTTAACTAGAAATATCGCGGCCGAGCAAGTCAAACAGAAAGAGTTTATTTCAAATCAACCCTTACCACTAACGCAATTTATCATTTCTATTTATTATTAAAAAAAGTATTTGTACTACAAATTTATATCATTTACTTATCATTTATATTTATTATTAATAAATGTATTTGCATTGCAAATACTTATCATTGATATTTATTATATTAGTAGAAGTATTTGCACTGCAAATGTGTCAAAAAATAGTCTTTATTAACCTAAAATCTCATACATTTAACTGGTTTCGTGTTTGAGGAGCGAATTATCTTGGAGTGTTTGGGAAGACCACGAGTCTCTCGCGTTTTGGCAAACACCACCGTTTTCTGTACTTTCGGAGGCTGTGTATTTCTCTGTACATGCCTCCTTCGTACCATTTCCATCTCCTCTTCCGCAACCAGGTCCAGCCCGAAAACCTTACCCATCATTTTCCTCCTGATACTCCGCTTGTAATTCTTCGCGGTATCTCGGAGAATCTTGTCCGACCTGCAAACTGTCATCCACTTTTGTGAAACTTGCGCGGCGCACAACAGAGACTCAGGGTCCAACTTGCGCAGTATCAGCTGAGAAACCTCCGGAGGTAGCTCGACAATAAAATCTACCTTGGACGGCTCCAGCAGTCCGACGGCACGAAGAAGCGATCTGAAGAACTCCATGTTGCTTGGACGAGAGCAAGATTGAAACTGAGGATGGGATGGAATAACTGGGGATTATATATCATAGGATGAGTCATGAGTATCTGATGTCCATCGTAATCCCCCGCCCAGTTCCGGTTTCGGTTCCGGTTTTGTCTCCGGTTCTGGTTCTGTATCGCTTTCGACCAATCAGGATCGAATATATTAGAAGTTGTTGAAGGCAGACTCTCAGTAACTCGCGACCTTTCAGAGTCGTCAGTTCCGGGTGTGATTGCTGGGCAATCGAACACAATCCGAAACGAAAAATGTTTTTATTATGATATTTACAGAGACCGCTGAGTCGTGTTCCAACATTGAGAGGTGGACAAACACGACTTACTGCACCATGTTTCAAGTAATTGTTTCTCTGTAATCGATGCAAACTGTCTACAACTTAATGTAATGAAATGAAAATTGAAATGGGTTAAGAACAACTCCAATTTCGTTGAAGTTAAATTGAATCCGACGTGCAATCATAGAACAATTGACACACTTCTGGAAGAAGTGAGAGTGTTCGTACAGAGTGATTTGATGAGAATGACAACGAAATTGTTGAAGCATCGCTGCGTGTGTGTAGAGGCTTAATGTACTAAAGACTGAGAAAACAATCAAGAAATAAGGAATTCAACAACTCATCATGCAAAACTTGCAAAAACTACTTCACCATCCCTAGCAAACTGGATTATTACGTGAAGAAGTAATATATTTAATACGAAGATTTAAGTCCTTCAAACTATAGGAAGATGGATTGTGAAAGACAGATTTAATAGACTAAAATTATATATAGGGAAATAGAATAAGTATATAGATAAATGTATAATAAATTATACACATGAGAAAAGAAATATTAACCATCTCTATTAATTAATTGTACTGATTATTGTTTCTGTTATGACAATTGCTTATTGTTATTGTTGCAACAAATGGCAAATTGGCGAGGAATGAATGAAGAAAAAATTTTTTAATACCACAAACGTTTGCATTTCGCTTAATTAATTTTTAGTTGTCTCGTCGGTACAAGCTCTACAAACTATGTATAAAAGTTGATACGACTACGAAACAGTCTACATTATAGAAGCCAGACAGGTATGCAGATATATTCGCTGAACAATTGCTCGTTCGACCACGGTTTATTGCAGGGGAGAATCAACGAGGCATCCTTCAAAGTTAATCGGATATCTCCAAATGAGAAGGGAAAATTTTGCAAGTACGAAAGAGTATCATGAGGAAGAATCTATCGTCATTCATAGACCAGATTTGACCTCTAGAATTTACGAGATGTTGCAAATCAACCGACTCTTTTCAACTTTTGAGAATTATCATTTACAAAAAGATTGAAGAAACGGTTAAGATTGATCCGAGAGTCGTATTTTGAATATATTTGTCACTGTACATCAAAATTTCATTCCGATATAAGAAATAAAATTTCGCCACTGTTGAGTAAAATTTACACTCGGGAATAAGGATATATTCGCGTACTATATGTATTCCAACGTAGATCTGTTCGAATGAGAATCTCGTTATTACATTTATTTAAGAAAGGTGTTTAAGGTATGAAATAACTTTTCATAATTTATTAGGCAATTCATTTCGTACTCAAGTACTACAATAATCTATTTTTCGAGCGAACGAATTTTATTATCTGGATAAAATATTCGACTAAAAACGAAATAATTGTTTTAGACCATAATTGCTTAGAATTTTCGTTGCAAGGGCGGGGAGGGACGATTCCGGCGAATCAGGCGAAAACCCAAGTGTCAGCTTTTACACCGAGCACTGACCTCGCTCGCGATAACTACTCGCGATTCTATTTCTGATGAGGTAAGCACGTGCCTCCAGCGACACTTGTACAGGAAAACGAAACTTGTGCAATTTCATTCGACGTGATCGAAGGCGAGACGAACGATCGTCCACGAACGTCGGCGACAAGATTCCGAGTCCAATTGAAGCACGATTAAACGGAGAAATTGTTTCCGCGATACGCCAATGGCGTCAGTCAATTGTTCGCGAACCTGTCAAATGAATCATCGCTCCTCCGAAAGCTACTCTACTCTACTCGTCACCGAAAAAAAAAAAAAAATAAATTCAGAGCAATCATTTTAACATTTTACTATGAAACGTCGAAAGAGCGTTTCCTCGTCTTTCTAAATTTGAAAGTAAAGCAAAGTAAAGAAGTGAAGAAAGGATGAAAGGACAGCGAGAGAGAGAGAGAGAGAAATGAAGAATGGTCAACGAAATGATCTCGTCGAAGAGTCGTTCTCCGAGGAAGCCAGGCGTCGGAGGCGCGAGAGGCCGCGAGGCGTCAGCGCGTTCGCTGGCCCGCGATGCACCGACCGAGGTTGCAAATCCGGCAGCTTGCGAATCTGCTCGCGGTTGCACGGTCGGCGGGGAGGAACGACGGTGGCGCCGATGAAAAATAGACGGTCGAGGCAGGCCGTGTGTGCCCAATCGGGTTGGCGGTTTGATCGTCGTCCATTGTCGATAGCACATGCGCCCTTTACCCCTGGCCGGAGGCTACGCCAGCAGATGACACTGCGATTTCACCCCAGTTGCGTTCCTCACACTCCTCTCGAGCCATCTCACCTTCTCCCTCTGGCTCTCTCTCTCTCTCTATTTCTCTCTCTCTCTCTCTCTCTTTCTCTCTCTGTTGGCGTGTCCCGTCTGCTAGTAGCTAGAAGCTGCCACGGGAATACGTGCGACACGGCAGAGCAGATTTCCCAGCAACGTTTCTCCATCCCGTCGATAATCCGGTGAGTACGCAGCTCGTGCGACCAGCGATCGTCGTCGCGCGACAACGCGAGAATCGTAACGAATCGGTACGCGTGATCCGGTGTTGGGCGACAGCAGCCGCGGAAGAGTCGAGCCCGGAGAGCCGGCCGCCGCCGCCGCCGTCGTCGCCATATTGATTCGACCCGGCGCAAATCCGCCCTGTGCGATGTGCGTTTCGGCATTCGACGCGTAAGACGAGCCGTGAAACTCGCTCGACCGCATGTTCGTTTCGTTCCGTTGGCTCGTCGGACGCGTAGAGAGGTGATTTCGCTGCGTGGAAGATCGATCGTAGCGGGTGACTCGATCGATTCGATCGCGTAGCAGGGCACGAGTAGGTGCGAGGACCGGGGGAGCTGTGCGAGAAGTGCGCCGCTAGTTGGTCGCCGCGGCCATTACACACGTACGAGCGGCCCGAGGGCGAGCATCGCGCGACGTGATCGCAATCGGCTCTCTCAGTTCCCATTTCGTCTCGGACGTGATCGAGTTCGTGACCGATCTTCCTTCCAGTACGTTCCTACGATACGGGTTTCGCGCCGATTCCGAGTTTGGTTGACGAGGTGAGTACGCGAGAACGTACCGGCGGTTCTCGCCTCTCCGCTTATAACCTCTGTTATCCTTCGGTCGTTGCGTCACGAACAGCGCGAGTTGCGTGTAAGTGGCGTGGATAACGTGTGCATCGGTATATCGAGAAACGAGAACCGCCAAACGATTCGCAATTGGGCAAAAGCTTGGGATTTTCTCTCGGCGGATAGAAAGAAAGGCGACGTTCGATAAAAACGAGCTCTGCCCGGCTGTGTCGCGAGCCTGAAATTGCTCGTCGCGAAATGGCTGCTTCGCACGGTCGCTCCGACTATTATTAGAAGAGGCCGGCGGCGGCGTGTGCGAATCGTTGCACGCTTATCGAACGTGTGCGCCTCGTTAGCGTAATTTCCACGAGATCTTTCGGGTCGTTCTCGAAAATGTTGTGTCGTTGGAAGATGTTCATTTTTCTAGGGGAATATTCACTAGCGAGTGAAAAGGGGGTGGCAGAGGGCGGGAGAGAGCGACAACGAGGAAGTAAACGTCTCGGGGAATTTCGGTCCTTTGGAATAATATCGATCGAAAGCGTGGACTGGGTCGCGAGGTGAAAAGCGACGTGTCCAAAGCGGGGTGAAAAAATTAAAGCACGCGACGATCGTGATCAAGGTGGAGTGCTGCCACTGTGCCTCTCTCTTCTTTTCCTTTTTTTTCTTTTTCTTTCTCTTCTCTCTCTCTCTCTCTCTCTCTCTCTCTCTCTCCGTAGGGCTCGACCGAATAAGCGCGCACACTCGCACCGGAGATGGTATTTTCGATGTTGGCCCGCATGGGGCCCTTTCGTCCAATCAATACCCTTCGTGGTTCGCCAGCTAGCCTCCGTTGACACGTAAATATTAATTGTCCCTTCGATAAGTCGATAACGTGCAACGAACCTATCTCCGTCCAGCGAGCAATTACAACCGAGCTGTAATCTAACGGTGTGATGTAAGTTGGAAATTCTCGGTAATCCGGCAGCAATCAGATTGACGTAATCCGATCGAACGTGATTATCCCGACCGTGATCGAGTATTTACCACCCCGAGTGATTGGGGAAAAGCGTAGTCGCGTACAGACGATCGATAATCAACCGCGTTTTCTTATCGCCTATCGACACCATACACCGTGATGTGATCGCGGAATTTTCTTCTTTTTCCGTTTCACTCGACGTTTCACTCCATCCACTCCCGTCCGTTTCACCTCGAGATCACCTCGAGCCGTTGGTTAACGGTTATGGAGGAGGCACGTCGTAATTGATAAGAGTCTCCGAGCTTTTTTTCAAGCACTCTCGGTGGTTTGCTTGTTTGCACGGCGTTACGGTTATAGCGCAAAAAGGGGGTGTGTTCTCGAGAGCTAGCTCGCTGCTCAGTTTTCGCAGGCTCTTCGTCAACTTTTACGCAATAAGCCGAGCAAGATGGAGCTACGTTTCAAGCAACGTCCGAGTCGAGCGTCGTGCGTGTGCCGAATTTTTTGATAATCGATCGTGCTTGTTGCGCGACGCGTAATTTTCAAATACTTTGCCGTCGTGGGCAGGTTGTTACCTCTCGAGTGTTACCGCGACTTTGTGTATCGAAAAGTGAATGGATTTTGATTCGTTTGGACTCGACACCGTCCGTCGAGTGAAATAATTCGAGAAAGCAGCACCACTCGTCGAATTCGAGCAATCGATACAGCTCCACTTGTCACTGTGCGAGCCACAAAGTGCGAAACGTGTTTCGTTATATAACGATATGATATTTCACCACCATTCGCGATCGCTGACAAATGCTAATTTCCCGTGACGTAATCGCGGACGTGCGTCCTGCTTGCGAAAAGACGTAAAACTTTATAAAACGCGTCGATTTACCACGTTTACACAGCCGAAATTCGGAAACTCGAGCGTCGAGTAAGCTTCGCTTAGGGATCAATATCGTAGCAACAAAGGAACGTGTTTATGTAACTTACGCGTTGGTCGTCGAGCATGGAGCAGAAACCAAGGCGATTGTTGCGCAAAGTTTGTTAACGAACCAATAAAACTGCAATCAGCTGCAGAATGTCTGGCGTGCTAGTAGTACGAGCACACGTATGATCAGCCACGGCGGCCCGATCCAAATAGTCTCGTCACGAATTGACGTTTCCCATCCGATAACGAGTCAGGATTCCGCGATACGTCGAATTCCGGTCAATCATTAATGACACGGCGGTTGATTACGCGTACGAACGAATACACGCGAGATAAATTCATTCGATAAACTGCTGTATCTGCCTTTCTTCTCTTTTTTTCTGCGTCCATCGAAAAGATACTCGATCGCGCTTAATCGAGAGCTGAGAGAACTTTCTTTCCTGCGAGAATGCTTGCAAGCATATTCTCGGAAAAAATAGCGAGACGACAGTAAAAATGATTCAATAGCGGATAGTGTCGTGGTGTAAAAATAACGATCTTCTGCAACTTGCGCATTCATCTTTTGTAACTTGGTGTTCAAAGGAGTCGAAGTGAGCTCGAATCAAAATAAGCTTTATCGATTGGAATCGTACGTGTACGGCGCCTATGCCCGGTGAAAGGTAGTCGTGCTTATTTATACCGTTGGAAACTTTGCACTCGAGAGTAGAAAACTGCGCGCGTAGCGTGGGCGCATCCGGCTCGAATTTTTCAAACTTTGATTTTCAAGCGAAGGAGGTTTGCAAAATTTCTCGTAGCGAGTAGCGTCGCGCAGGTAAAGAGAGAAAGAGAGAGAGAGAGAGAGAGAGAGAGAGATTGCGAGAAGGATATAGATCGCGCCCGCGAGGCCAGACTAATCGCCTTTTCCACAAACGAGTCGAGCGAACGACTCGTAGAGTAAATCGATAGGGAAGCCGAGCATTCACGCGGCGTCTGGCGAATGTTTCAGGTAAAATCTAGAGCGTCGGCATGGGTAAGGAGAAGATTCATATTAACATCGTGGTGATCGGCCACGTCGATTCCGGCAAGTCGACCACCACCGGCCATCTGATCTACAAGTGCGGCGGCATCGACAAGCGAACGATCGAGAAGTTCGAGAAGGAGGCGCAGGAGATGGGCAAGGGTTCGTTCAAGTACGCCTGGGTGTTGGACAAGTTGAAGGCCGAACGCGAACGCGGCATCACGATCGATATCGCCCTGTGGAAGTTCGAGACGGCCAAGTACTACGTGACCATCATCGACGCGCCTGGTCATCGCGACTTCATCAAGAACATGATCACCGGCACCAGCCAGGCGGACTGCGCGGTGCTGATAGTGGCGGCAGGTATCGGCGAGTTCGAGGCCGGCATCTCCAAGAACGGTCAAACGCGCGAGCACGCGTTGCTCGCGTTCACCCTGGGCGTGAAGCAGCTGATCGTCGGCGTGAACAAGATGGACATGACCGACCCGCCGTATTCGGAGTCCCGTTTCGAGGAGATCAAGAAGGAGGTCTCGTCGTACATCAAGAAGATCGGCTACAACACCGCGTCGGTGGCGTTCGTACCGATCTCCGGCTGGCACGGTGACAACATGCTGGAACCGTCGCCAAAGACCGCGTGGTACAAGGGGTGGAAAGTGGAGCGCAAAGACGGCAACGCCGACGGGAAGACCCTGATCGAAGCCCTTGACGCTATACTGCCGCCGTCCAGACCCACCGACAAGGCTCTCCGTCTACCGCTTCAGGACGTTTACAAGATCGGTGGCATCGGCACCGTGCCGGTCGGTCGCGTCGAGACTGGAATTCTGAAACCAGGTACCAATACATTTATATATATATATATATATATATATATATATATATATATATATATATATATAATGATTAAGTTAGTAATAAATATGTGTATAAAATATTAATAATTAAATATATATATAAGGAACTAGGCAAAATAAATATATTCACCTGTTTATCAAAAATATGTCTTGTTGAAAATAATTTCAAAGTCAATCTGCCCAATAATTTAATGGCTGCAGTATGTACCGACTGTACAAAGGTAGCACAATCAATTGATTTTTAAATGAAATCTGAAATGAAAGGATTAATGAAATATATTCTGTCTCATATATAAATTATGAATTTAAAATTTTCAATAAAAATTTTTTTATGGGACGATAAGAGTAGAACGCGCCCCTATAGAATTTTAATTAGTAATTTATTTTTGTATTTAATGTAAAATTTAAATTAATATTCGATTAGCAGAATTATTAAATTTAATAAATTTTGATTTATATATATATAAATACTTAAAAATATGTATATTTATATATTTATGAATATATATATTCAATAAATTTTGATTTATATATGTGTATATATATATATATATATTTATAAATATATAAATCAAAATTTATTAAATTTAATAATTCTCCCAATCAAATATTATTTAAAATTTTATATTAAATTTTACATATATATAAAAAATATATATCTTCATTCTATATATATATAAATATATATAAAAATTCGATATATATATAAATATATATAAAATATATAAATTTTGATTTATATATAAATATTTAAAAATATATATATATATAAATCAAAATTTATTAAATTTAATAATTCAATCGAATATTCTTTAAAATTATATATTAAATACAAAAATTAATTAATATAAAATTCTATAGGGGCGCGTTCTACTCTTATCGTCCCATAAAAATATTACATATATATATATATAGAATTCGAGCGGAGGCTCTGTAGAGTAAAAACATCGAGAGTTCGAGATTTCCGTGTGTAAAAATTTGGCCAAAAATGACGCGAGTCTTATTCGGCAGGTATGCTGGTGACGTTCGCTCCGGCGGCGCTGACCACCGAGGTGAAATCGGTGGAGATGCACCACGAGGCGTTGACGGAGGCATTGCCCGGCGACAACGTCGGCTTCAACGTGAAGAACATCTCGGTGAAGGAGCTGAGGCGTGGCTACGTGGCGGGCGATTCGAAAAATCAGCCGCCGCGAGGGGCCGCGGACTTCACCGCTCAGGTGATCGTCCTCAACCATCCCGGACAGATCAGCAACGGGTACACGCCTGTGCTCGACTGCCACACCGCTCATATCGCCTGCAAGTTCGCCGAGATCAAGGAGAAGTGCGACCGCCGTACCGGGAAAACCACCGAGGAGAATCCGAAGAGCATCAAGAGCGGCGACGCTGCGATCGTGATGCTCCAGCCGACTAAACCGATGTGCGTCGAGGCTTTCCAGGAATTCCCGCCCCTGGGACGTTTCGCCGTTCGCGACATGCGTCAGACTGTCGCCGTGGGCGTCATTAAGGTACGGTTTCCTCACCGCGGATGATTTCCTCTCTCTCTCTCTCTCTCTCTCTCTCTGCGCGACGAGAAAATCAGCAGACGCATCGATGTCTGACACAGAAAGTTGATACGAATTGCAAATTGGTTTTATGGCTGGCTTAATTTCGAGCAAACAATTTCCAAATGTTTTTAGGAGTGTCCTCTTCATCTTCCATGTTGCTGTTTGAATTTGTACGTGACAATATCTCGCATCATTTTCAATGCTTGGAATATATACATCTTTTCAAAGCTCTGATGAACGTGAACTGGAAAGTATTTAGTTTTTACGAGGAGGATTTAGTAGAAACGCGGAGTTTCTCTTTTCTTTTTTTCAATATATATCGACTGTTTGTTACATCGGCAATGACGGGAATTGATGAGAACCTGAGTTGTTCCAAAGTATCGAGTGTCTCAGTTATTCGCAGAGTTCCATTGGAACTCTGATACACATACATACATACATACATACATGTGATGTACATACGTCCTTCGACTCTTCCAAAATTCGACGATTACAGTGAACAATGACACGATGACCATGTCACTATTCACCATTGATATTCAATGGTTTCCAATGGTCCAAATGTCATGGCAACCTGACAAGAGTATAACGACACTTTTCTCGTTTTATTCCAGGCCTCTCTCCGTTGGCGCCTTACGCAATCTAATTTCAGAGATACCAACCTATAGGAACTTAGTTTCGATCGAATCCTTTTTCATTTCTTTTTTTTTCTCGAACGCAAAAATATTTTTTCAGAACCTGTCGCGAGGAGATGATCAGTAATCGTTCTTACGAGATCAAAACTCGAACGTCACGTACATCTCGAAGGTAATCTTTGATATTTCGCCAACACGGCGAGTAAACGTTGTATTTTTGAAACGCAGGTAATTGATGTACAATAAGAACGACGAGATGCTTCCAAAGAAAACGTGTTTCCAAAGGTTACGTAATTTTCAAGGATATTATCGCACGGAGATATAAAAAGGAATGACGCGACGTTAACCCTCGTCTGATAGCGTCGAACGCTTGGCAAATAACTGATAATGTGACGCCAGTCGCGATAAAAGAAAAAAAAAATAAAATAAAATAAATGGACCGCGCACTTCGTCAAATTTACCGTAGAAATGCGCTTATTCAGATATTAATGAGAGGTATTCCGCGTTAATATTAAAATACTTTTAAAACAATTATCACCTTCGTTTCAACCTCTTGCGCTGGAATGACGTGTGCCACGCGCGTCGAGAATCGTTTGTTCCAAAATTGCAATATTCTCTCAGTTTTAAGTAAAACAAAATAGGCAAGACAAATGATAGATTTATTACTTCTCAATCATTTCTATCCAGTACGGTTTGGCCACTCGTTATTTTGGTCCGCAGTCAGTTGCCAGCGCAGGTGGTTGAGACTGTATTTTCGTCGGATGTACCTCGAAATCGACATTTGTTCTTTTCAATACTTGAAATAACGCAAGAATCCAGTTCTTCCAAACACAAATTTATACTTGTATCAGGAGGGGATGCTGAGAAATGTGTAATTGTGTCAATTTGCAGAGCGTCACCTTTAAAGATACGCAGGGCAAGGTTACAAAGGCCGCCGAGAAAGCCCAGAAGAAAAAGTAACCATCAAGCTTCCTCGGAAGCTCGCAGACCGCCGGCTGGTGCCCGGGGACGAGTGTCTCCTCCGCGAGGGGGCCCTCCGACAGGACGCAGTACGCCGCGGCTGCTCCAATCAACTCATACTCGGCTAATAATAATAATACAAAAAGTGAAAAGATGTTGTGCTTACCCCCGTTACATTATCCGGTAGTATTGAATCCGCGCATCTATCCGAATTTGCACATTCAGTTCACCCATGCCCCGCGCACACCCCACATATGCTAGGTAGATTCTTACGTTTTTACTTAATTCTTTACATTGACGAATATGTGTCCAATTACAGGTTAAAAAACAAAACAATTCAAAAAAACGTAAAAGAACAAAAAAAGACAAAAAAAAAAAAGAAAAGAAAAAAGAACAATACTCAGTTCCCTTGAACTCTGTGTAGTTAGGTTTTTCAATTAAATGTAACAACACACATACACACACACAACCACACGGACACACAGACAACCAGATGAAACAGAAACGGGATGACGGGTCGTGTGATCGTGGCAGCTTAACAGCGTGAAACGAAACACGAGGCAGCAGCTGGGCCACGAATCTCAGCTAAGTTTTTTTTTTTCTCCACGCCACCATTATCGATTCGACGACACGCTTTCTATTCTTCGCCATCTTCTGAGTTCTACGAGAGGAGAAACGCGTAGTACATCCATACGACACACACACGCACACACATACATACACACACACACATACACGCACGCATACGCAGACTTCCGTAATACCTGGACGAGAAAAGCCGATTTATCCTGAGAAGCGATCCGACACATTGGACACATAAATAAAGAAAAGGGTGTGACCCGCTGCTGCCTCGCCATCCCTGACTTTTTAATCTTCTTTTCGAAGGATTCGTTAAGGCTGATTTGTTCAAAGACTTGGTTGCCTCGCTGCGAATAATTTTATTATTTGTATAAGAAATGTATTTATCTCTAGTTAGGGATACAATTAGACTGTGCTCCCAATATATCCCTTTCGCGGCTCGGGAGAAACTCGCCCGCGATCGAGGCGGTCACCAGGCTGACCTTGAACTCGTCGGCGAGTTTCGCCTCGCGAGTTGCCCGTGTTAATCTCGGTACCCCTGATAGACGCGTTCTACAATTGTTTTTGACCCTTAGCCAGTATTACGTTGATGTAATAAAAAAAAAAAAAATTTTAATCGCCTCGTCTCTCTGTTTTTCTTAATCCTTCTCCCTCGAGCGATCACTGTACGGAGATTGAGACTTTCGACTCGTCACTTTACGTATACGTGGATCGTTTGATTCAATTCGTCAAACAATGGCGACGAAACTGAATATTTTAACAAAACGACGAATTTTAAGAGGGGAACAACAGAGGGTAGTAAAGGACCTATGGTAAATATAATTTATTCCGCATAAATTCTTCGTTAACATTACAACTAAACGTGGTATGTACAAATATATATATGTATATGTGTATATATATATATATATATATATATATATTTAATGCAATGATCTTACAAGAATTTAGTGTAATGCAGGTCTTGGTCAGTCTTTAATTGCCGAGGCCCGTTTGCCCAGGGCGCCGAGCAGACTCTTTCGATCCTCTTTCTGCGATCGAACGTGACACAGAATTGTCCGCCGGAGAAAAAAACGACAAAACCACTTTCTCTTCCGTACGTACGGAACACGATCACATAAACGGAATCTGTAAACTGAAAATATTGCAGGCACTTCTGTCGGCTAACTTACGCTTCGAAAACAGAATTTCGTCGGCCGATCGAACGTGTGTTTGCGAGTAATATCCGCAGGATCTCCAGTTCTCGCGAAACAGTACGACGACACGTGTGTCTAGATACATCGAGTTGTCTGTATTTAATACTAATCACGGCTGTTGGTTCCGCGTAACTCGAGTTCGATACGAGTCGTGACTGTGTCGTTCACCGCGCGACACATTTGCCCAGCCGATGAGAATGGAGGAGAAAATGAAGCACGGGAGAGGGATGAAACGGATGAGATACGGAGAGATACAACGAAACGAAGATTTACGTGACAGAGGATGAGAAGAAGAAACAAAAAAGAAAAAGAAAGATGAGGGAGGAGCGACGATATATCGATGAAAGGGAAAACACACCGAAGCTAAAGCAACCCTAATACTCTATCTCTACCTAACGACATCTCTGCATCTCTCTCTCTCTCTCTCTCTCTCTCTCTCGAATAATCTCGTAAATGCTAAGACAACCCACAGCCTCGGTAAATATACGAAAGAAAAAAAAAAAGAAAAGAAAAGAAAAGAAGAAAGAACCATCCTCGACACCTTCTTCCGTCCGTGAGAAAAAACGCGTTGAACACGTAGCGTTAACCTCTGACGTTAACAGCTATAAAGAAACTAGAATTGAAAGTTGAAAACCGCGCGATATGATCGTGCGACGTCGACCGATTCTCGGTGGGTCGTCGAACACGCTCACGCATGATCGTTCGTTCGGTCGCTCGTTCTCATTCACCGCGAGACACGGATTCAGAGTGAACGCATCATCAGTTTCAAAAGTCGCGCGTACGCGAACAGAACGTGGTTGGAACGAGCGAGACCGGGCCACATATACACGGTTCACATTCGAACACGATCCCCAACACGTTTATGTCTGTTGCTGATGCGTTGGACTATGGTGGTGCGACCACACTGGTGGCGGACTCGAATGGTTGAAGTTGACCGATATGGTGACTGGGTGTAGCACGGTGTCGGGTCCGGTGTCCGAGACGAAGCCCAGATGCGGCCTCAACAGCGACGCCTCGACGGTCAACGGGACGTAGAATGCGCCACCGTCGTGCAGGGCGAAGATCGGCACACCGTGAGACGCTGACGGCTTCTCCATGCTGGTGGCCGGCGGCGGGCTCGACTTTATCCTCTCCGCGGAGAACCTCTGCTTGATGGAGCTTTTGAACTTGTAGTTGGAAGGCTTGCAGAGGCTGGTGCTCGGCGGCGTGCTGTGCGAGTGGGTGCTGTGGTTGCTGTCGTCGCTGACGATCGCTGGCGGTGGGATGATCGCCGGGCGCAGAGGACGTTCCGGATCGCCGAAGGAACTTGCACCGGAGCTCGAGCCGTGATCCGAGTGACCGTTCGGCTGACATATCGTCGGAATGCTACTGTGAGCGTAACTCGACCCGTTCGTCACACCGTTCGCCGTAGGCATCTCCGGATGGGGGAAGCCTAGCCTGTCGCCTGCAATCACAGAGAACATTGTAGAGATTGCGCGTACCGATGATCGTTAAATTGTAGAGATTGCATTTTACAAATTTTCCAGAGAAGAATTGCTTGCGCGAAATTTATATTATTCTCTGAGAATAATATTGTATTAATATTAGTATCAATATTAATATTATTATATTAATATGTATCATTAATAATATTAATTATATATAACAAATGTAATAAGATTATATTAATATTTCGCGTAAACAATTCGCAAACAATATATGTTAATTTAATATAATTATATTAATATAATATAAATTTCACGTAAACAATTCGCAAATAATTCACAAATAATATAATATAATTATATTAATATACACACATATAATATAAAATTATTATATTAACATTAATATTATTATATTAATATGTAATAATATTAATAATATTAACTGTATATAACATATATAATATGATTATATTAATATTTCGCGTAAACAATTCGCAAACAATGTATGTTAATTTAATATAATTATATTA